ATTTAACTAATGTGCCTCATAAAGCGTTGGTCGTGATTAGTAAATTTTCATTTTACTGGTTAAGATAGTGAGTTGTGGAGAGGGGGTCGTATAGATACTTAGATACCTAGTGAAAGTTACTTATATCAATTCTAAATTTACTAATCTTATCTAGTAAATATACCAATATCTGGTAAAACTACCTTTAAGGTAGTGATTGTATGGACAGTAAATTTACTAGTTTTCTTCGTGACTTTAACTAGTTATTTTTTTACAGTGTACAAAAAATTGAGTAAAATTTAGACATTCAATATTCTGTCAATTTACCGGGAGCGCAAGTCACCTCATCCTTTTACAGCGTTCATGAAAAGTCTGCAGTATTATTTTGACAATTTTTCCCTTTTTTAGTTTCCAAGTTAACCTCATCAATTGTGTTATCATTGACTGCATTTAACTTTTTAAAGAAGTTTATCCAACTTTTTTAGGTCACCTGAGTAAACCTGAAAATCTTCTCTGCTCCTGGGAATAAAACAAACAAACTACATAATTATAATAAGCAAGAATGCCTCTTCACAAAAATTGTGAATTTTATGGCCCCTGGGTCAGGGGTTCTGGTGTTCCATTGAAAAAAAACTGTATATTTATTGCGCACAAAAAAGTGCACCGCTTCGTTTATCGATTTATTTTTCAATGTTTTCAAAACTATCATCTAAATAGATATATTAATAACCGTGTGTTCCTAATATATTTGTTTTCACAACAAAAAATTCCTTATCGTTGTTGTTAATAGCCCTCCTGGCCCTGAAATCGAGATCCTCGAAAATTTCGTCTATTTATACTGCCATTTTGGTTTGCAAGATAATTCGACCCAACGCGCTTCGTGTATAGATGTCAACTACGAAAGTACTTGATAAAGGAGTAGGGAATTTTTAGCTCACCTGAGCCAAAGGCTCAAGTGAGCTTTTCTGATCAAAATTTGTCCGTTGTCTGTCGTCGTCGTTGTCGTCGTCGTCGTTGTAAACTTTTCACATTTTCGACTTCTTCTCAAGAACCACTGGGCCAATTTCAACCAAACTTGGCACAAAGTATCCTTAGGTGAAGGGAATTCAAGTTTGTTCAATTGAAGGGCCACGCCCTTATTCAAGGGGAGATAATTAAGAAATAATGAAAATTTGATGGTATGTTTTAAAAATCTTCTTCTCAAGAACCACTGTGCCAGGAAAAATGAAACTTATAGGGAAACATCCTCAGGTAGTGTAGATTCAAATTTGTTCAAATCATGACCCCTGGGGGTAGGGCGGGGCCACAATGGCCGATCAAAGTTTTACATAGAAATATATAGGAAAATTCTTTTAAAATCTTCTTCTCAAGAATCATGGTGCCAGGAAAGATGAAACTTATGGGGAAACATCCTCAGGTAGTGTAGATTCAAGTTTGTTCAAATCATGACCCCCGGGGGTAGGGCGGGGCCACAATGGCCAATCAAAGTTTTACATAGAAATATATAGGAAAATTCTTTAAAAATCTTCTCAAGAACCAGTGTGCCAGAAGTGTGCAAGAATAGCAAAGGCATGAATGATCATATTTTTATGGAAGCATCCTCGGGTAGTGCAGATTAAGATTTATTCAAATCATGACCCCTTAGGGGTAGGGTGAGGCTTCAATGGCTGATCAAAGTTTTACATTGAAATATATAGGAAAATTCTTAAAAAATCTTCTTCTCAAGAATAGTAAAGGCATGAATGATAATATTTTTATGGAAGCATCCTCAGGTAGTGGACATTCAATTTTTGTTCAAATCATGACCCCAAGGGGTAGGGCGGGGCCACAACATGGAATCCAAGTTTTACATAGAAACATGTAGAAAAAATCTTTAAAATTCTTTTCAAGAATAGCCAAGCCATGATTAGTCCTGTTCATACGGAAGCATTCTTGGGTAGTGTAGAGTCAATTTTGTTCAAGTCATGACCCATTGTTGTATAGGGCGGAGCCACAATGTAAGTTCAAATGTGAAGGGCAATATAGCCACAGGTAATCAAAGAAATATGCAAGCATCCTTAGTTAGTGAAGATTCAACTTTGTTCAAATCATACCATCTCCCTTTTAAGGATTGGTTTAGACCACCACTGGGTTTAAACTTTTCAACAATAAACTGATTTCTGCTTTTTTTCTATCCAAATTGCTCAGGTGAGCGATGTGTCCCATGGGCCTCTTGTTTGAAATCTAATTTTTTTTTTTACAATTGAGGTGTGAATTTGGAAGAATTAATCCATAACCAAGCGCAACTTTTTGTGCGCAATAAATGTACATTTTTTTCAGTGAGTGGCACTGTAGCTCTCCGATCTGTCAAAAAATTTTTTCGGGGAGATACAGTTCTGCAGCTAGACTACAACGAGATAGGGTAAATTATTCACGGAAATGTGGCTAGGAACTGACTAGTACGTGGAGACATGCAAACAGAAAAGTTATGTTGCGCTTCGGTTTTCATCACCCTATAATATCTGTCTAAATGTTCTCTCTTCATTTCATTATAGCTTAAATAAGCATTCTCTATGATACAATTTTTTACAGTCATGAATTAAATTTCTTTTCGGACGAATATTTTTGCATGGGAACCGGGACTATATTTTTTGCGCCAGATTAGCAAATCTGAGGCAGCAACATGACTTTAACTGACAAATCAGCTGAATGCGATTCGCATTATGGGTTACTACGAATACTACAAGAATTTTACGCTTGAAAAAAAAGGAAAATCTTATGGCATCTATTTCATAAATGAAAAAGCAATTTTTAAATTCTATTATTTTCGTATTCACAATGACAAACAATTCATTTGTTAAATAAACGATGGACGTCTAGGTTTCTCAAAGCCAAACTGCAAAGCGATTTCCGTCTATATTAATTCCTTTGTTGTACTATCGGTGAATACAATTGTCAGGTGGATTCCCTGGCCAAAACACTTGATTCTTTCAGTTTCTAATCTTTGTATTTTGTGCCTGAGAACTTTTTTTTATTTTGCGCTCCATTGTTATGATCATAGATTGACCTGAACCACATACTCGAAGTAAAATGTAAAGATGTATTTTGCTCAAACATTGCTATTCATTCAACGATTGGTCAGTTGCTCGTGGTAAGATCCTATGTGCGCATTAATAACAATAGCCATATTAGGTAAACAAAAACAAAGGTTTGTCAGTGTAGATGATATAACACTTTTTACCAGCGTATCGGTTGCTAGTGAGTTCTAATTGTCGCCGGAAATTATGATATATTGTTTTTTTACCCACCCACCCCCTCCTTTAGCCACACTTTTTCTGTTGAAAATCATGAGTCTTTCAGAAAGGTCTGGAAATACATTTTTTTACAGGACATATTTTCAAAAGAAACAGACTATAGCAATTCCCTGTTTACTGCCAATTTTATTTTCAAAACCGGTTCTACCCTAAACCACGTGTCTTGAATTTAAATCACAATAATAATAGTAGGGGTGTGACCAAAGTCGATAAAAATGGGTAGCAACTGTACCTTCGCCATGATCTCGACACCTTGAAGTAAAAGTTGCGGATCTTTTGGATGAGGTCTTAAAAAGCGAGGACTTGTGTCACTGTAGGCGTTGGTAAAAAAATGAAGCCCTTCACTGATATATGGTAACGTCTCTTATGGGTGAATTATTCTCCATAGAAATCAATCAATCAGCCACAACCCAGTGAGACTTTGATCACTCAAAAACATTCCAACAAATTAAACTGATTCATTAGCACCACCTAATAGTTTTAACCACGCATACTGCAGTATTTAAAAGTGAACTACACTTAACAAAACTTTTAAGTGTTCACTTTAATAAATGTATTTATTAAAAAAAAACTACTGTATAGAATGATTTGAAATTTTCAAATTATTACAACAAATGAGTTTTCTCAACAATTTTAGAAAGAAAATCAAATATCACCGATGAAAACCAATCTTTCGTGACTAAGCTTAAAAACAATAAATCTGTACTTTGCGGCACGTGTTCTGTGTAATTACCATCTTTTTGTGATCATTATCAAATTTTAGAAACCGATTTCACTAAAAAAAAAAAACGCAAAACATTGCCAAAATGACCATTGAGGTAGAAAGGAGAGCCGTTGGAATGTTGATATCTGGACCATCCTTGCACCGCGTTTTACTCAATTTTGTTTTAGTGTTCAATTGTCCTTGATATTACTTTTAAAAATTAACAAACAATATCAAAACCCATATAAACACATTTTCTAAAGGCTGTGCGTCATTTTCATCGCCAATTTACCACAATTTGAAAGCTTTGGACAAAATTCAACCAAACCGGAAGTGACCTTTATCTTCCTCTGAGGCCAAATTTTTGCGTCACACCAAGTTAAAACAGTGTTAAACTGTCTTAAAACAATCTTAAAAACATGAAAACAAAGAATTTCAATCGTATGAAAATGATAAGAAATCGGTGCTCGTGACAGTCTTATATCAGCTCAAGCAGTCTGAATCATCCTTAAAGCGGTGCGATTACGTGCTAAACGCCCAAGGATATTGACCAAAGTGCCTCTGTGTGATGATGCACTGTCAAATTCGCGGATCTGAATCTGATTGAAATCATTTGGGATTTTTATAAGGAATGTAACCCCCCCCCCTCCACACAATTTCAACGGTTTGGAAAGATCTATCAAAAGGTGTGGCAGCATATGGGTCAATCTCCTATTCAGGGGTACATGGTATCCAATAGTAAAAGTTGTCTTGCAGTAATTAGAGCGAGTGGTGGTCTTACTCCATCGAGAATATTTTGCGTGAATTTTCATTTTGAGGGTACATCATTTCCTTGACACTTTGCTTAAAATTCTGACGAGATACATGAAATAAAGGCAACATCGAACTGAAATACATATATTAATTATTAACCTTGAATTAAAGAAATTATTAATTGTATGCATTTGTTCTTTAAAACTTAAAAAAATGTTAGGTGAACACTTAGAAGTTTGGTTCAGTATATTTTTTCTCTTTCTTTTGATTAGGTGACTATATGCAAAATAGATGTTCTGCCAAAGATACAACAACCCCTTGCAAACCTTGCGAAGATAGATTCATCTCATGTGTTAACAAACCAAATGGTAGAAGTTCAATGGAAGGAGATATTTTCTCATATGTTTTCTGTCTTCAGAACAGAACTATTGATGTAGTCAAGTGCACGGACGGTTATTTTTTCCATTCACTGGTGAAACAATGCATTCCTTTCAAATATTTCGGTAGGTTTCTTTTGAAAACTAAACATATATATATATATAATTTTAGACCTTATATTGTGTGCCGACGGCTCAAGTGATCTTTTCTGGTCATTTTTCCATTGTCTATCGTCGTTGTCGTAAATTTATTTACGTTTCCATCTAATCTCAAGAACCACTGGGTAAATTTCAACCAAACTTGGTACAGGGTATCCTTTGGTTTGGGGAATACAAGATGTTGTTTTTTAAAAAATGAAGCGCCACGCCCTCCTTGAACGGGAGAAAACTTAGATATGTGAAAATCGGGTGGGTGTATCAAAGACCTTCTCAAGATCAAGAGGACTATGTGACATGTTTTTGCTCACCTGAGCCGAAGGCTCATTTGAGCTTTTCTGATCAAAATTTGTCCGTTGTCTGTCGTCGTCGTCGTTGTCGTCATCGTCATTGTCGTTATCGTAAACTTTTCACATTTTCATCTCCTTGTCAAGAACCACCGGGCCAATTTAAACCAATCTTGGCACAAAGTATCCTTGGGTAAAGGGGATTCAAGTTTGCTCAAATGAAGGGCCACGCCCTTTTTCAAGGGGATATAATTATGAATTTTAGAAAAATTGCCATTTTTCATAAATCTTCTTCTCAAGAACCACTGGTTCAAGAAAGATGAAACTCATGTGGAATCATCCTCAGGTAGTATAGATTCAAGTTTGTTCAATTCATGACCCCCAGGTGTAGGGTGGGGCCAAAATGGCCGATCCAAATTTTACATTGTAGTATATAGGAAAAATCTTTCAAAAATCTTCTTTTCAAGAACCACTGGTCCAGGGAAGATGAAACTCATGTGGAATTCTCCTCAGGTAGTGTAGATTCAAGTTTGCTCAAATCATGACTCAGGGGTAGGGTGGGGCCATTTTTGTGGGGTCAAAATGGCCGATCAAAGTTTACCATAGGAATACATAGGAAAAATCTTAAAAAATCTTCTTCTCAAAAACCATTGAGACAAGAAAGATAAAACTCATGTGAAATTATCCTCAGGTAGTGTAGATTCAAATTTGTTCAAATCATGACCCCCGTATGTAAGGTGGGGCCAAAATGGCCGATCAATGTTTTACATAGGAATATATTTGAAAAATCTTTAAAAATCTTCTTCTCAAGAACCATTGAGACAGGAAAGGTGAAACTCATGTGGAATCATCCTCAGGTAGTGTAGATTCAAGTTTGTTCAAATCATGACCCCCAGGAGTAGGATGGGGCCAAAATGGCAGATCAAATTTTTACAAAGGAGTATAGAAATCTTTTAAAATCTTTTATTCAAGTACTTCAAAGCCATGATTAGTGATATTTATATTAAGTCATCCTCAGGTAGTATTGATTCAAGTTTGTACAAATCATGACCCATAGGGGGCTAAAATTGAAGCCCCCCTTCCCCCTCCAACCTCAGTAAACTTTAGTTCTGATGTGATATGTGCTTTTTCCTAGCCAGTGTTCTCAGGTGAGCGCTGTGGCCCCTGGGCCTCTTGTTTGACATGTTGTAGATTCCAATTTATTCACATCTTGACCCCTGGGAATAGGGTTGGACCAGAATGGACAATGTTTGACATAGAAATTTACAGGAATGAAATAAATGAACTTAACAAACGGCATTAAAGCTAAAAAAGTGCATCAAACAATATAAAATTGAGGCAGAGCAAACACAAACCTCAAAAATATCAGTGGTGGATAAAGTGCCATGGAGGAGTGAACATCTCCTGCCATACGGTCACACCCACCGTATGCTCCTTGTCATAATTAAGAAATAACGGAAATTCTGTTGCAATTCAGGAGGTAAATAATGGCCTAACAATAAGTATGAAAATTGTTGGTCAGAATTTGACTTAATGATAAATTGTATTTGCTGACAAGGTCATTATATCGACCATAGAACTTACAAATTGACGACTTTAAACGAGGCTGCTGATATTCTTGTTTCAGCAAAATGTTTTAAGAATTGTTCATACGTTGAGCATGCTCTTGCGTATACAATCAATTGAGAGATATAAATCAGGTTATGAAGGTATATTGCTGAATAAGTAAGGAAAGTTGACAATTGAAAAGTAGTAGAAGGTCACAGCAAGTGTTTTTCAGGTATAAGATTTTGGCCAAATTCTGCTTCAAAAGTATACAAAAATAGGTCTGCTCATAACAGGGTGCAATTGGTACCCATTGGAAATTAAAATAATCTGTTGGAAAACCTGGTCTCCGAAAACCACAAAGATATTATCAATCAAAAACTCAAGCAGGAAAAATCTTACAAAATATTTTTCTCATCAACAGCAGATTCATACGGAAGCCCGTTGAAGCCAGTTCAGAGAGAGAAATATTTTTTATTGCGTTTAATCGCAATAATCATTGCGTTTAAACGCAAAAAATTGCGTTTAATCGCAATGATTATTGCGTTTAAATGCAAAACATTGCGATTAATTGCAATAATCATTGCGTTTAAACGCAAAGTACTTTGCGTTTAATCGCAATCGTTTGCGATTAAATGCAATACTTTTTGCGTTTAATCGCAATAATATTGCATTTAATCGCAATGATTTTTTGCGTTTAATCGCAATGATATTTTGCGTTTAATCGCCATATTTTTTGTATTTAAATGTAAGGATTATAAAATATACTATTGTCCGATTTTTAGCTCACCTGAGCCGAAGGCTCAAGTGAGCTTTTTTTGATCAAAATTTGTCTGTTGTCTGTCGTTGTCGTCGTCTTTGTAAGCTTTTCACATTTTCATCTTCTTCTAAAGAACCACTGGCCCAATTTCAACTAAACTTGCCACAAAGTATTCTTAGGTAAAGGGAATTCAAATTTGTTAAAATGAAGGGCCAAGCCCTTTTTCAAAGGGAGATAATTATGAATTAGTGAAAAATTGATGGCATTTTAAAAAAATCTTCTTCTCAAGAACCACTGTGCCAAGAAAAATGAAACTCATGTGGAAGCATCCTATGGTAGTGTAGATTCAAATTTGTTCAAATCATGGCCCCCGGGGTAGGATGGGGCCACAATGGCCGATCAACGTTTTACATAGGAGTATATAGGGAAAATCTTAAAATATCTTCTTCTCAAAAACCGCTGGGCCAAGAAAGATGAAACTCAAGCGGAAGCATCCTAAGGTAGCGTAGATTCAAGTTTGTTCAAATCATGACCCCCGGGGGGTATGGTGGGGCCACAATGGCCAATCAAAATTTTACATAAGAGTGTATAGATAAAATCTTTAAAAATCTTCTTCTCAAGAAACACTGGGCCAGGAAAGATGAAACTCAGGTGGAAACATCCTCAGGTAGTGTAGATTAAAGTTTTTTTTAAAATCATGACCCCCGGGGGTAGGGCGGGGCCACAATGGTCGATCAAAATTTTACGTGGGAGTATATAGGTAAAAACTTTGAAAATGTTCTTCTCAAGAACCATTAGGACAGGAAAGATGGAAGTCATGTGGAAAAATCCTCAGGTAGTGTAGATTCAAGTTTGTACAAATCATGACCCCCAGGGGTTGGATGGGGCCACAATAGCTGATCAAAGTTTTACATAGGAATTTATAGGAAAATCGTCTTCTCAAGTACTTCAAAGCAATGATTAGTGATAGTATAGGAAGAAAAGGTTTTTAAAAAATCTTTTTATCAAGAACAGCAAAGTCATATGCTGTATGAATATGAAGGAATTCTTTAGTAGTATTAAATTCAAGCCTCCCCCCTTCAGTAAACTATTCAGTTCTGATCTGATTTATGTTTTTTTCTAGCCGATTTGCTCAGGTGAGCGATGTGGCCCTTGGGCCTCTTGTTTAAAGAAGAGCAGTTTGGTTTTGTGTTTTTTGAAAATGTTGCAGTTTGTGAGATTTTAAGTTTAACAATGGCATACTAACAAGCAAGTTTCTTAAAACTATTAGAGCCCAACACTTTTAACACAGCCATTAATCAATTCATTAGGTATCACAGCTAATTAAGAATGTGTCAGTTGTATTATTTTTGATTTCATATGTTTCAATCTCATAAATTCTCGTGTTTACTGTATGTGATCAAAGGAAAGGTTGTGAATATACATATACATAATATGTACATGTACATATACATAAGTCTAAACATTTTATCAGTTGTTTCCTTAAGCCCTTTATACAGGTACAAGGTTTAAACGTTGTGACCGCAACATGGAGTGATAGTTTTTCGATCATTATTAATTTTCCGGTCTTTTATTTCGAAAAATCCTTTAAAATTGTTTGCATAGTTTTAAAGTTTAAAAGAAGAGAAAACAATATAGGAAATGTCATTTGTGTTTGTAAGCAATTGAGGAAAACTTTAACAGGAATATAGATATCTATACATGCTGAAGCTTTGTTTCTTTCTTAGGTTGTCTTTGTTTTTAAAGACCGACACTTCTTTCTCCTCTTTAAATCCATACCAATGATTTAACCATTCAGAAAATGCTTGTTCAGAAGAATCTGATTCTATAAAGCTTAACAATACGCAATTCTCCTCTACTAGGTTACTACATATCAGCGTGGGTCCATTGCGCTCTTCAAAGATCAATAGAAATGATTGCTTTTAAATACAAAGATTATTGCGTTTAAATGCAAAAAGTTATTGCGTTTAATCGCAATATTATTGCGATTAAACGCAAAAATTATTGCGATTAAACGCAATAATTATTGCAATTAAACGCAAAAATATTACCCGGTATTGTGTTTAATCGCAATAATTATTGCATTTAATCGCAATAATTTTTGCGTTAAAATGCAATCTTTTGCAATTAAACGCAAAGTGCTTGCAATGAAAAATATTTCTTTGTCTGAACTGGCCTCAACGGGCTTCCGTAGATTCATGATAGGTGATATTTTTACATTGAATCATCCGTACGTTGTGTAGATACAAATATGTTCATATCATGACGCTTGGAGCAGAGGAACTTGTTTCGGAAATAAATTTATATGCGCCTGGATCGATAGATTCGGAGCGTATATTGTTTTTGTCCTGTCTGCCTGTTTGTCTTTTATCTGTTTG